ACTACATAGCAAGAGCCTGTCTCAAAAAACAAAACAAAACAGAAACAAAACAACCAATAAAAATAAATAAATCCCCAGTCTGAATGGATTTACATGTAAATACATCTTTATATTTATAATTGTATTATTTATAAAGATACACACATACATTTATATAGTGCATTATATATCTTAGAAATCATAAAAATTTGATGTAATATACACATATGTAATATAATGAATTAGAAAGACTGTTACACAGACATAATATTTTTATTATATTTGTATATACTCACCCTCAGATATCTGTCACTAATGTACAAGTTTTTACAAATAGATGATACACACGCATCACTATATAAAAATTATTCACATATCCTCCCAAATTGTAGCTATCTATAAACATGTGTCTGTTGGTAATGTGATCTATGACTTGGTCCAATAGGTCTTTAACTGTTACTGGTAAGATCTTAACTGATATTTAATATTAATATGGATCATTTCCAATAGAAGCCAGGGCTACCTGACAAGGATGAAAAGAATAGAATTAAACATACACAATATAAAACTAGAGGCTATTTTAAATTTTCAAATACAAAAAATCCCATCATCTATTTTGTTGTATTGATTAAGTGTTGTCAACTCCAGGTTTGAGAGAATTTCTAAATTTCATAAACTTCTTTCCAGATAACTACTATGTAAACTACAATGTAGAAAATTTTCTTCAGATTCTGAATATCTTATTCATTAACTTCAATAATATAGTGATTTTGTGTTAGCAATTTTTATAGGATATGAACATATTTAATTCACCTCATGCATTGTTAGTAATACTGATTTCTTATGTCATATGGTAGATCTAGAAATGTATATAAAAATAAGAATCACAAATAAATTTGATTAATTTCCCTGAAAAAAGTCCATCTATAATTTATCTGGAATAAAACGTTCATTTAAGATTGTATTGCCTGCTGTCCTCCCACATACCTTGACCGTCTATTGTGATTCTGCAGTGCCATTTAGCCCCTCTTTTGTCTCTGTCTGCTTTGAAAACATACCCTTCCAGTTTTATTTTATTTAATGAAAGGAAGTAAGTTACACAGTGTATCACAGGAGATGTTGCAGAAGAAACAAGAATCTACAAGTTCAGGTCAATTTATTCAGTATCTCTTTACCAATGCCTTTGACATTACAAACATTCTTTAAGGGATAGGAAAAAACCAGAAAACAAACATCTGTAATCTTTAAATGTAGCTTACTACATCATATGATTTCCCTAAGGATCCCAAACCTGATAAAACACTGTGTACCTTCATAATCGTATCACTTAAAGAAATATAATTCAAAGGCATACAGGACCTCAAGAGACTAGAAATAACAGAACCAGATTTTCAGTACAGAATTACAAATGTGCTAGAATGATATTTCCTTTACTTTTGAGTTTTGAGTAATCTTCTCTTTATTGGGAAGAGATAAACAAGTCACCAAAACTCAAAATGAGGATAAAGTATATATGTTAGAAGGAGTTCCTATATTCACTTATAATATATTAAAATTGACCTCCATATAGAGTCTTTGAAAGGAAATCAAATACTTAGGGTGACAATTAAGCTGGTTTGTCAACTTGATTGTCTTGGGAGCTGCCTAGGTTACAGCAATGCACACTTCTGGGTGTGACTGGGGGTGTTGTGAAGCCATAACCTTGGGTATTACACAGGGTTTCTGGCCCCTTCCTCTAGGGGTCTGTTTACCTGTTTGGCTTCCCAGTGGCCTAAGCAGCTTTTCTCCACCATGTTTTTCATCAGGATCGTCTCTGTCTTGGAGCCAGCCAAACACGGTCTGAACTCATGAAAACAGAAACTGTGGGCCAAATTAGAAATACTCCCCTTTAAACTGTGGATGCTGGACATTGTGTCCCAGGAATGAAAAGCTGTTCATACACTTGGTCATGTCTCTGGCAGAGAATGGTGGTTTCATGTAGAATTTTATTGGAGAACTCAAATCTGTTCATGGCCTTCTTCGTAATAAAAGCTGTTCAAAATAAAAGCTTCTCTCATATTTCCATTGCCTTGATGAGCAATTCAATCAAACATTTTCACTCTGTTGTTTCACATAAATTTTAGACGTTCCTAAAGCCATTTGGAGGCTAAGCATATTCAATTTCAAGAAGCTTACATAGAAAATCACCTTAATCTGAACTGAAGTAAAAGATACAAATGAGTCTTATTTTTATTTGCCACTAGCAAAGCTGATCACTAGATCTTTCTCACCAAACTCAGCTTTGATGTGCACATCTTTAGCCCTCTTGTTTTTTTCTGGCCATTTTATTACAATGGACTTAAAAGCTGTCCACACCCTAACTATATCCTTATTTTTATTTCACACCTATTTAGGTACAACAATGAAGTCATATCTAAAAGTGAAGAAGTCACAACATTTTCAAGATAGTGGATATTATGGTTTAAAACATTCTGATAATTCAGAATTCTGAAACATACTTTCTTCTGTAGTAATTAGTAATCATCATCAGTCATTACTTGGTGACATATATTGAAATCAAGTGGATTTAATGTCTCCCTAAATTTCAGGATTTCTGTAAAAACTGTATCATTTCATTATAGAATACTGTGGAGGATATGAGAAGTTCTCAGGCCCTCAGACAGCCTTGGGAAGACAGATTGTCCTGATGTCTGTGGCAGGCCCAGATAGAGAAGTTAAAGATAACTTCAGAAGGCTGTTTGTCCATCCCACAGTGTTCTTTCCTCTGTGGTCCATTGAGACTCTCAAATATTTGCTTGGTATAAGACTAGATAAGAATAGCTAACTTTTTAGAAGCTTCAAGTAGCCAGGATGATTTAGATATGATGCACTAAGATTAGAGGAGCACAGTTAAAGGAGATGGTTCTTTAGATGCTTTATGTACTCACAGATATAACTGGTGGTTAATTGACTAGCATTGTAAACTGTTAATGATTAATGTGTCCTACAGAAAAATGTATAAAAGAAGAATATTACTAACAAACCTTGCCTTAACTCCAAGAGTTCTGGTTCCCCGGCTCCTTCATTTAATAAGTTTCCTCGGATACTGTCTTCAGTTTCCAGTCTCCGACCGAAGGGACCCCAACAGAATACATAATGTAATTCAAAAGGGAATTAAACTAAAAAGGAAATATTTTTTAAAATAGAAAAAATAATTATAAATAGTATAAGTTGTGTGTTTAAACTTGACTGTCAACTTGATTAGTTTCAGAGTAGTAAGGGACACTTCTGGGTGTTTCTGGGTGAGCCATCATTTGGTAACCCTGGGAATTTATCTAGTCCCTAGTCCCTTCCTCTCTGGTTCCTTCATCTGAGTTCTGTTTGCCAGAGCCAGGAAGTGAGCAGCTTGGCTCTACCAGGACTATCTGCATGATGTTTCTGCCTGAGACAGCCAACCAGGAATTGAAACCGGAAAGTGTGAACCAAAATAAACTTCTTTAAATTGAGGGGGGTGGGTGTTTGGTTCCAATAATCAGAAAGCTGACCAATATGTAAATATTATATGTTAACCAACTAATAATGTGAATTGGAAGAAAAGTAATATTCAAAGTATACTTAAATATTATGTGTTAACTAAACAATGATGTGAATTGGAAAAAAAGTAATATTCAAAGTATTAGGACTAATACTAATTAGGACTGGAAAGACTTCTTGAAAGCAACGGTATCTCCTCTAAAACAGGAAACATGTTAGGACTTCAATCTCAATGAAGGCATGAGATTAGGGGATGTCATGTCTAGAACTGCTGAACTTTTAGCCAGAGAATCTTCTAATACAGCTGAGGAAAGATGGGATTGTGGGTGAAAGCAGAGTGGAAGTCCAAGTTAAAGAGTCAGTTAGAAATGAAATTAATTAGAAGCGATGAATGATTTATTGGAAATATTGAATATAAGGATTTTGTGAAAGAATGAATCTGGTATTCTAGTCTAATGCTCAGTGGGATATAGTTTTAATCATTGAGCTAAACGAGACTGCCAGGAGACACTATAGTGAGAAAAGTCTAAGGAACAGAAAAATCCCTGGAGAAAACCCATATCTATAAATCAAATGATAGCAAGAATTCTTTAGAGGGAGATCAGCAAGAAATAGATAATAAGAAAAATATCATAAACCTATTAATTGGAATTAAATTATTAAATTAAAATAATATTTGAAAAGAAAAATATTTAACCATGTTTAATATCAGAGATGAGCATCCATTGCAGGTAGTAAATTAAAAAGAAAACGAGAAAAATATTAATATGTATATAAGAGAAATATTTCCGAAGAACTGGACTGGGGACAATATAACTGTCATGATGATTTCATGAGACATAAGTAAGTTCTAAACTATTGTCTTTGAAAATGCATACTTTAGTCTATTAGTCAACCTTTCATTGCTGGGACATAATACCTAACATGCACAACCTAAAGGAGAAAGGATTTCCAAGGGGTGATAAAAAAGTATGATGTATTAAAGTTTTTAAAATGTCATTGCCATAGTTCCCCTCAAATTACCCCCCTCACTTCAAACACACCTATCCTGTCATTCTTACCATCTTCTGAAGCAGTTATGGAAGTCCTCTTTTGTGAATGTATTTACCAAATGTGATAAAAAACACAGTGAATGCTGTTGCTGAGTGCCATCCAATGGAAAGGCAGGGTCATAAAAACATGGTGTGTCCTCATCCACCTTTTTCATCAGATCTACCATGTGTGACTTCTGGCTCTTCCCCAAAGTCAAAATGACCATGAAAGGTAATTATTTTGAAGCAATTCATGATGTTGTGGCAGCCATCACAGTGCAACTAAGATACTCAGTTAAGACGGCTTTCAGAACTTCTTCAGAAAGTGGGGAAAATGGTGTAATAAATGTTTTCAAAGCAATGGGGAGTACTTTGAAAAAGGTTAATGGCAATGTATCTTTTAGCATAATATATTTTTAAAAATTTAAATATTCACTATATTTTTAGATGACATTTTGCATTTTTACTCACAGTTTCAGATGTTTTAGTCCATGGTTATTTGGCTTCAGTACAGAAACAACATGGCAAAGGGGCAGGGCAAAGGAGAGCAGTTTACTTCATGGTGGCTGGAAGAGAGAGAGATCAGGAAGAAAGCCAAGGAGACAAAGTAAGCAGATGTTGACACAAATATTCTTAAATGTGAAAGCAAAAAATATCCTAAATTCTTAAATCAGACTGTAAAATGTCACAAGAAGCTTTCTAAAATTTTCCCTTGTAAGTGCTTTTTAAAAAAATTAATATTACTGTTGAATTATAAATCTCTTGAGGTCCAGACCAGCATGTATTCTCTTTGTACCTCACCAGGAAAGATTCCATGAAGTATTTTCAACTCCTGCCTCATTTCAGCTCTGGCTCATACATGTACCACATTCATGTTTTTTTTTTTCTTTGCTTGAATTCTTTTATTGGTACATTTTAGGTATATAATATGTTTGCATTTATCACTGGGTGCTTGTGCCTGTGCATGATGTGTCTTGGTTCTTATTTTTTCCCCATTACCTGTGCACCCTTCCACCCCTTCCCTATTTACAAAGACTTTGTTTCCATTTTTTCCTTTTCTCATAATTTTTCCTTTCCCTTCTTTCCTTTCCCCTTCCCCTCCCACT